CTGCTACTACTACTGCTACTCCTACTCCTACTACTACTACTACTACTTCTACTACTACTGCTGCTGCTGCTACTACTATACTACTACCACTACTACTACTACTACTACTACTCCTACTACTACTACTACTACTAGAAATCCTGCAGCCACTCAAAAGGAATCTGAAGGTAAGGTAAACCCAGCCTTTTTGTTTTTTCCAGCCATCCTTGTTGTTGTCGCCGTCGGCTTTCCAGTCCTGGCTACTTAAAACCTCTCCCCACCCAGAACACAGAATGGTACCGTATTGAGAGTAATTGATATTATGGCGGTTGGCGGGTTTATGATTAAGGGCGGGCGATTTTTTTGGGGTGGATGTCTGAAGATGGGAGCATACATGGGAGGATGCGGGGTTTATCCATATGAAGGATTGCAAGGGATTGTTCTTGGAGAAACAGCCAATTTCCGAGAAGAGTTGAGAGTTTTTGATTGATTTCTCTGAGTGCCTCCGATAGAAACCCTATAATCTCCTCCCCCCTAGTATCAAATCCCCCCCCCTAAGGTTTAGGGTTTACGGTTTAGGGCTAATACTAAGTCCCCCCACCCCCCTATTATCAAATACTCCCCTTTCTGGTATATTCTGATATACTAGGAGTATTCAATATTAGGGGGGTTAGCGGGTTTTAATATTCGGGAGATGAGGTTATAACCCGCGGAAACTGGAATCACTAGAACTAAACCTTCAACCTAGAACCCTCAACCCCAAACCCTCAAGCTCAATCTTCCAACCCTACCCGAAACTATGAATGGCTGTTTCTTTCGAAGTTATACAAACATAAAAAGGATAACAGCTTTCCGGACAGCCCTAGAATCCCCAACCTTCGGCCCTAAACCCTACCTAAATCCCAAAAGTCTGTAGAATAATAGCCCTAGACCCACAATAACAGCCATGAAGGCCATTATTTTACATACTGTTGAGGCCCAGGTAAATCCTAGACCCAAAATCCGAAACCGGCGTCCTTCCACTTCTGGTTCTTGTCCCACCCCTGGTTCTTATCCCATTCCTTGGATTTCCAGTCGGACTTGTTCCCCCAGGAGTTGCCGCCTCCTCTGCCGCCTCCTCCGCCTGAATGAAACAGAATGACACACTTTGCTACTTGCCTGGCCTGGGTTTACGGGTTGTAAGGTCTAGATTAGGAGGACCCCCCACCCTGTAATAGTGGTATAATAAGAATATAAGAGGACCCTATAATCCCTATTATCCCTTATAGTCACTATTACTGGGTGGGGGGTCCACCTAAGGTTTAGAGTGTAGGGCTTTAGGGCCTAGGGTTTATGGAGGCGCATTGGCACGGCTCAAGGTTGAGGGATCAAGGTCCCGGCTGACGGAACCAGGGCTTACATTACCCCTGGTTGCCTGCAAACTAGAATTATAGACTCTCGTGGACCAACCGAGAAAGTGTATGCCAAATCCCAAATCTGCTGGTATTCCCTACATACGAAGGATATGGAAGGATCTTTGGCAATAGTGCTCCGCAAAGAAACATAAAAGAACATAGGAAACTATTACGTACTCACCTAACAATAACAATCAAGCGACGTTCAGCAAATGGGTCTCCAGAATTTGGGCAGGCATCTAGGGAGTGAATGCGGTCATGCCATGTGAACAAGCATTATTAGCATACTCATCATCACCGCCATAATCATCACCATCAGCACCATGAGCAAACCATCAGCAGCACGCTAACCTGCTGAGGCAGCAGTTCCGTAGCAATGCCCTTTCCATCCTCTACCAGCAACTATATGCAGATGAACACTACTGTTATTACTATCCTTACGATCATGATTGTTATTGCCATGTTATTACTCTTATTCCTGCGGATTTCAAACCTTTGGATGGAAGGATTGAAGCACTCTTGGGCATGGTCTGGAGCTGCCGGATGCCATACCCGCAGCCCAATGCCATCTGCTAAAGACCCTGCTCTTCAGACTATGCAGTCACGAAGAGCCACTGGCATGTCCCCACGACCGTGTGGGAACTACATGGCCCTCGAGATCTGAGCTTCAGTAGAAGGAAAAAACACCAGAAATCCGAATTCCGAATACCTGAACCCTATGTAACCCTGTATGATCGCAATGCAAGACCCTATATCAGCCCTAAACCGTGTATACCTTCTGCTGCGAACCACTAGACTTGTTACCTGGGCGGGCTTCTTACAAGCCTTAATCTAAGGCTTCAGGGATTAGGGTTCAGGATTCACGGCCAGAATGAGTATAGGGTTTCGAGTTTAGGGTGTACAATCCTAGGTTTGGGGGAGGGGGTGGGTCGGAGGCCTCCTTTCCAATCCGACCAGCTCTTCCAATCGGACTTGTCTTTGCCATTGCTCTCCTCGTGCAAGATAAGCAGTCTAAAGAAAGAACAACTGCAAAACTGTAATGAAATAATGCATGCATGTACATGCATGCATGCACGAAAGCCTGCAACATTCATGTAAGCTGGGAGATATAGGGATTCCCGTATTCATGAAAACTACGTAAAACTACCTTATATAGAACAAGGCAGCAAAGCACATCTGACATGGCTCCTGCAGTTTGATGTGGCCTTCTAACTTGCCATTCAGGTTTGCGAGTTTGTTGCCGCCTTTCGGGGCCTAGACGAACCCTGAACCCTGAACGCTAAACCCTAATCCGTTCCACGGTAGTCCTAGCTACAAACACATGCGGCTGCGTACTCAACAGGCATTAGCACTTCTGGCTGGCCGCTACGGAGACTGCTAGAAGTGGTTGCAAGGGCTGGGAATCTGAAACGAAAACCCTGGCCTGAATTCATGACCCCATACGGCAGAGGGGGATAACAATACCAGCACCATGACATGCATCACTGTGCCACTTCTGAAGCACTCGCAAGGAAGCCCTACGCGCTTCTAGTTGCTGAGTTCTCTGCCCCAAAGCGTGATGTTTTGAGCATGTGCAGATTCTCGGCTACTGAACCCCAAATCCCCCTACAACTCCTGAACCGTATAAGCCACGATGTCATTCCTATTTACTATTACAGACAGCCTGTGGCATTTGATTTTCAAATTTCTTGCCATCTGACTCTCCACTCTCAGCGAACCAATAAGTAAACCCTTCACCCTGAAGCCCTAAATCACCATACCCTAAGCAATACACTTTAAACTGTCGCTGCAATCTCTTAAGCAGGGACAGGGCCAACATTTGAAAGGCAGGTAAGAGCCTAATCAGATCCTCCAGCGTAATTCCATTTAGAAGCTTCTTGCAGCTTCATTGGAATAGAGAAGCAATGGAAGATGGAATGGACACCCGGATGATATCAAGACTTACAGGTTTAGGTGAGGTGATTAAAGCTGAGGGTTTCTAGCGTTTAGGATTGAGGGCATCGGTGTTGTTAAGGCTTTTGCTAGGTACTACCATGGAAAAATCTGGCAACTGAAGACAAGAATGTTCTCAGATTTGTCTTGAAGGCACGAAAGTAAGCACATCTATGAACCATTCAGCTCTGATACTTTCAAAATGGCTTTCCTGTCTATGTCCTTAACCCTGAATCCTAAACCTTTGGGTTAAGGTTGAACCTTTGGATTTAGTAGGTGTTCACTGGGTTACCTAAACCCTAAACCCCAAACGCCTACTGGATGTTAAAGGTTAGACAGTAACTCCTAAGGTGGACTGCTCAGACAGGGCTCCTAAGACGGACTGCACATATAGGGCTCGCAAATTTGGAATTTCCTGGCGTCTTACAAGACGCTTCAGCAGTCAGAGCTTATTTCATGGAGCAACCGCCCCTGTCCGCTCCAGTAGAGCAGCGTTCCTGTAAGGATGCACTTCGAAAAGAATGCATGTTTTGGATGGACCCTGGTTTTCATCAGAATATGAAATCATAAAAGTCCTGAAGAACACGGAACCGCGAAATGTGGCCGAATGCATAACGCTACAGCATGAAAGGCTTTGCCTTAAAAAGCCGTTTTCAAAGCAAGGGACAGAGCATGTGGCCCGAAACCATCACACGAAAGAAACCAGCTCTCAGAAGCCCACGTCCTGACCCCCTCCCCCCCCACCATCAATCTGGGAACCCCTTAGCTCCTTAAAGGGGGCTACTAAGGGATTATATGGTAGTTTCCCAAAATAGGGGGACCCCAATGTAGACCCCAAAATACTATAATCCTTATTATGGGAACCCTTAAAAAGGGTACCCCTAATTTTAGGAAACC